TACAGTGCAGCATTGACTGCTCCGTCGTTCTAAAGCATCCTTCTGATGACTGAAAACATTCAGACGCCTCTCGTTAAGATCCAACGTCCGACCTGAACGTCACCTGCTCTCCACGTCGAAGTCGCCCTTCGCGAACCTCGCGAACCATTTCTGGGCTGTTCTTACCAGCACTGCACCATCTCCGTATACGGCGCAAATGTCACAAGCCACCGTTGAGTCCTGATTAAATGCACAAAGTAGCACTTGTCGAAAGTGCGTTTTCGTGTCCACTGGACACGTCATTTCGTCACGCTGAAGATCCAAAGGAAACAAAACTGCAGTAGATCGTCTAACACAGTTGCGAAGAGCAGAAAACCCGCTATCGATTGGTGTATAACACTCCTCCGAAAAAGTGGAGTTTTGCAGGAATAATTCAATTTGAATAAAAGCGCACGAATTTATGCAACAACCCAATATTTTAATAGAGTTATGATTATTTATTGGATTGATATTTGGCTACGATTGATTATGCAAAGTATTCACGGCTCTCAACTAATTAATTACTCGGTTGTGTTCGGTTGGCCTGCTCGCCTAGCCGACGGGGTGGCGTGAATTGAGGCTAAAACAATGTGTACGGAAACATTGTGAGCATTGTGGCCAACTGCGTTGTAAACGTTTGATAGCCTGCTGCTTGCCAATCCAGCTTATTATTATTTTTCGTATGTGATACAGTTCACTTCGTTACTGTTCACTACATATTTAAACACACATTTATCACCTTATCAATGCTATACATATTGCTAGTATTTATTTATTATCAAACATACTGCCGATATTATTTTCGTTCGATCGGTCACAAACTGCTCTAATCCTGCCCCAATCACCGCGCCGCTTGTCCTGAACAGTAATAATAATAGCCATAATAATAATAATGGTAATAATAATAATAATAATAATAATAATAGCCATAATAATAATAATAATAATAATAATAATAATAATAGAAATAACAATAACTAAGATAATAAAATTAAAAAAACATTAAATAATAATAATAACCGCAAACAAACTAACTTAATTTTTTCTATGACCGTCTTGCGTCTCTCCTCCTCACTCGCCCTCATCTGCTCCAAATTAACATCTTTGTTTTCTCTGGCTGCCTTCGCCTGTGCCCTCGTTGCTGCCTCCACTTTCTCGAGATCGTATTTGTGCTTGAGGGCGAGTTCGTGCTCGATCGTTGCTTTAGTTATTAAATATATTAATTAATTTATACATTAATAATAACAATAATAATAACAATAATAATAACAATAATAATAATAA